AAAAAAAAAAAAAAAAAAAAAAAAAAAAAAAAAAAAAAAGTTATTAATAAAGTACTTATAATTTTGCTTACTGTTTTTCAAAGTGAAGTTATTAATTATCCTTATCAGGTATTGCACTGAGAGAGCTACTTAAGGGAAACGAAAGCCTCTTTAGGGTCTAACTCATCATTCAAACCCTTGCAATAACAATGACTTACTTTGCTTTTTACCTAGACAGATGAAAATACTTATTTTATGTAACAGGCTTTATAATATTCAATTACATCTGTTTAAAATATTCTATCACACTGTGCTCAGATTTGAAAATGGAAAGATGAATTTTGTTTCAATAACAGAAACGTGATGCTGAAATAGCCAAAACCATGATGGAAGAACATGAGAGAATAATAAAGGAAGAGAACGCTGCAGAAGACAAACGAAACAAAGTAAAAGCACAGTACTATCTTGACTTAGAGAAACAACTTGAAGAACAAGAACAAAAAAAGCAGGAAGCTTATGAACAGTCGCTGAAAGAGAAACTCATGATTGATGAAATTGTTAGGAAAATCTGTGAAGAAGATCAATTGTAAGTTTATCTTAAGTTTCTTACATGCCTAAACATTTACTTTAGATCTATCGTAGTGTTGTGAAGAGAGAAAGCACCAAGAACAGTGCCGATACATAGTAAATGCTCAGTAAGTGTTATCTAAGGTCACATAAGTTGAAACCAACTCTTTTCTATCTTTGTTAGCATGATAATTAATAGATTAATGATCTGATAATAAATACTTATTAAGCGACTGAGTGACCTAAACGTTTGTTTTTCTTAAATACGCCTACATCATAGAAAGCATGTTTTCTGATGAATTTCCATAACAGACAGCTTTAGAGTGCCACAAGGCTTATGTTAACAGGTTGTAGACTTTCTGAAATGGGATGCATAAAACTTCGTAAATAGGTTAGAGGTGAGACATAGTACAGGTTGAGTTTCCCTTTCTGAAATGCTTGGGACCAGAAGTGTTTTGAGTTTCGGATTTGTTTGGATTTTGGAATATTTGCATTACATATACTTACCAGTTCAGTATCCCTAATCCAAAAATTTGAAATCCAGAATGGTCCAATGAGCATTTCCTTTGAGCATCATGTCAGTGCTCAAAAAGTTTCAGATTTTGGAGCATTTTGGATTGTGTATATTTGGATTAGGGATACTCAACCTGGGTATTTTACACAAAGAAAATTTATACCTGATGAGTGAGTAGGAAAATACACCAAGAAGAGACACCAGCTGGGTGTCTTCCAATTCAGTTCCAGGACTATCTACCTGGAAATTGTGTCGGATCCCACAGATTGAGGGCTCAATCCCCAAGACAGCCCCACCCCAACACACTTCTAATGCCAGTCGCAAACCGAAGGTTGTTCTACCTTGGCTTCTGACTGACTGGCTATAAATTGGGGTTTCCTTGGTTAGTTTGCTGAGCAGCTCACGGAACTCAGAGAAACTGACTAACATTTACCTGTTTATTATAAAGGATATTGTAAAGGATACAGATAAACAGCCAGATGAAAAGATACATAGGGTGAGTTTTGGAAGGATCCTAAGGTGCAAGAACTTCTGTCCCCGTGGAGTTGGGGCTTGCTACCCTCCCAGCAAGTAGAGGCAAAACCTCCCCAGGTGTGTACTATCCAGTAGCTCTCCGAACTCATGCCTCTTGGGTTTTTATGGAGGCTTCATTACATAGGCATGAGTGACTAAATCATTGGCCATTGGTGATCAACTGAACCTTCAGCCCCTCTCCCCTCCCCAGAGGTTGCAGGGTGGGACTGAAAATCTTGCCTTGGTCTTTCCTGTGACCAGCCTCCATCCTGAAACTACCTAGGGACTACCAGCCATCAGTCAACTTATTAGCATACAAAAAGACAGCACTTTGGATATTCTAAGTAGTGTAGGAGTTGTGTGCCAGGAGGGGTGATGATGACCAGATGTATATTTCACAGTACCACACCTGGCATTTATATTATTTATTTTTATTTAAAAATTTTTATTTTTCATTGAAATGTATTGATTATACATAATTGTGGGGTACAGAGTTAAACATCAATACATGTATACAATATGTGATGATCAAATCAGGGTACTTAGCATATTCATCATTATAAAACAATCATTTCTTTGTAATGAGGACATTGATATCCAGTCTTTTAGCCATTTGATAACATGCAGTAAATTATTGTTAATTATAGATGCCTAGCTCAACTGTATACTAATAGAACTTATTTTTCCTGTCTAGCTGTTTTGTGTCCATTAACCAACCTCTCACTATTGCCCCTTCCCCTTCCCCTTTCTTGCTTCTAACCACAGTTCTGCTCTGTCCTTCTGAAAGTTCAACTTATTAATATATTATTTTTGTTTGTTTCTTTCTCCCACTTATGAGTGAGGACCTGCAGTATTTCTCTTTCTGTTCCCTGGCTTATTTCACTTAACATAATTTTCTCCAGGCTCATCCATGCTGTTGCAAATAGCAGAATTTCATTCTTTTTTCCTGGCTGAGTAGTATTCCATTGTGTATATGTACCACATTTTCTTTAACCAGTCATCCATTGATGGACATTTAGGTTGTTTCCATGTCTTGGCTATTGTAAACAGAGCTGAGATAAACATGGGAGTGCAGGCATCCCTTTGACATGATGATTTCCATTCCTCTGGGTATATACCCAGTAGTGGGATTGCTGGATCATATGGTAGTTCTGTCTGTAGTTGTTTGAGAAACCTCCATACCATTTTCCATAGTGGCTGCACTAATTTATAGTCCCACCAATAGCATATAAGGGCTTCCCCTTTCTGTGCATCCTTGCCAGCAGTTTTTATTTTCTGGGTTTTTTTTTTTTAATAATAGTCTAACTGGTGTGAATGATATCTCAATGTAGTTTTTTTTTTTTTCTTTTTGTCTTTTTTACTGACCGGTAACGGGATTGCAACCCTCGGTGTCGCGCCTGTACTGGGGACTGGCAACGGGATCGCAACCCTCGGTGTTGTGCCCGCACCGCACTCAGCCAGTGAGCGGGAACCAGTCTCCACATGGGACCCAAACCCTCGGCAGGAGTGCCACCGCGCTCCCAAGCGGCGCACTCTCCAGTGCGCCACCGGGCTGGCCCATATCTCAATGTAGTTTTAATTTGCATTTCACTGATGCTTAGTGATATTGAGCATTTTTTCATGTACTTGTTCATCGTTTGTATGTCTTCTTTTGAGAAATGTCTATTCAGCTGGCATATTTAGTGGCACATAGTAGGCATTCAAAATGTTTATTGTATGAATGAATGAACAAGCAATAAATAGGAAAGGTGTTTTCTCCCACATTATTATCAACAGAGGAAATTACTTTTTAATGTTTTTATATTATTTCTGTTACTATAAAACTGTATCCATAATTTTTTTTTAGGGAAAGACAACAAAAGTTAGAAAAAAGGAATGCAACCCGAAGGTATATAGAAGAGTTTCAGAAACAGCAGGCTCTCTGGAGAAAAAAGAAACGTGAAGAGATGGAAGAAGAAAACAGAAAAATCATAGAATTTGCTAACATGCAGCAGCAAAGAGAAGAAGATCGGATGGCAAAAGTTCAAGAAAATGAGGAAAAAAGGCTACAGCTTCAGAATGCGGTATTAAAATAACCACTTCTTTAACACTGGTGAAATTCTGAAATATTAGTTATAGAATTTGGGTCCTAGAAATAAATATTTGTATTTTAAAAAATTTAATAGCTGACTCAGAAGTTGGAAGAAATGCTACGGCAACGTGAAGATTTGGAACAAGTGCGACAAGAATTATACCAGGAAGAACAAGCTGAAATATATGAGAGAAAACTAAAAGTAAGTTTTGAACTTTGAAAGAATAATTAACATAGAGAAGAATATGATTTTTAGATAAAATAGTAGAAAGGTAATAGATATAAGCCCAACTGCATTAGTCCATTTCTGTCGCTTATAACAAGATACCTGAAACTGGGTGATTTATAAAGAAATGAAATTATCGCTTACAGTTTTGGAGGCTGGGAAGTGATGACAGTGACCCATTGCAGAAAATGGCAGAGCAGAGAGACAGAGAGAGACTCCTCCTTCATTCTCCTTTTAAAGCCCTCTGAACCACACCCCTGATAACCATTACTAGTCTATTCATAATGGCATGGTCCTACAATCTAATCACCTCTTCAAGGGCCCACCTTTCAATTACCATAATAGGATTTACCACACTCTTTTTTTTTTTTCCCCTTTTTGTCTTTTTTCGTGACCGGCAACGGATCGCAACCCTCAGTGTTGCGCCCGTACCGGACCAGGACCGGCAACGGGATTGCAACCCTTGGTGTTGCGCCCGCACCTCGCTCAGCCAGTGAGCTGCCGGTCTGTATGTGGGATCCGAACCCTCGGCGGGAGTGCCGCCGCGCTCCCAAGCGGCGCACTGTAGCAGTGCGCCATCGGGCCGGCCCGGATTTACCACTCTTAACACTGTCACAATGGGGGTCAAGTTTTGGGGGGACACTCAATCCAAAGCACCAACCATATTGATGATTGCATTATATGTAAATGGTATAAACACTACAGTTAAAAAGAAAAATTTTTGAGCTGGATGATAAAGCTGTTTTTAGCAATTTACACACTGCATCATAAAAGGCATGATACAACTATGTTGTCTACAATAAACACAATTTAAATATGAAGATATAGTTTAAAAGCAAAATGATGGAGGAAGATAAACCACAAAGTCATCTTCAAGACGAGGAATTCATGATGATAATAGGGTAAATTCATCTAGAGGATGTAATAGTTCTAAAGGTAAAGAATAAACCTTCCCAATGTGTAAAGCAAAACTGACAAAACTGAAAGGACAAATAGACAAATTCATAGATTTGAAAATTTCATTACTCCTTTCTCATTAATGTATAGACTGAGTAGTCAGAACCATAGGATATTGTGTTGAACAATATCAACTGACTTGACCTGACATTTAGAGAATACTCCACCAAACAACAGCATAATACAATTTCCACTCAAATACTCATGGAACATTCACCAAGATAGCTCATATTCTAGGACATAAAGTATGTCTCAATAAATTTACAAAGTTTTAAAGCATACCAAATATGTTTTCTGACTACAATGGAATTAAATTAGAAGTCAGTAATGAAAATGTACCTGCAAAATCCTTAAATATATTGTAATTAAATAATATACTTCTAAGTAAGCAATGAGCAAAGAAAAAAATCATAATGGAAATTAGAAAAATATTTCAAGTTGAATGAAAATTAAAAAAACAACATCAAAATATGATAAGCTAAGCTATAGTGCTTAGAAGGAAGTTTATATCTTTAAATGTATGTATTAGAAAAGAAGAATGGTTTAAAATTAATGATCTTATGTTTACATAAAAACTTGTACATAAATGTTGATAGCAGCATTATTCATAATTGCCAAAAAGCAGAAATAACCCAAATATCCAAAAGCTGATGAATGAAGATACGTAACAGTATATCCATGTAATAGAAAGTTATTCAGTCATAAAAAGAATGAAGTACAGTACTGACACATGCTAAACCATGGATGAATCTTTAATTATATCTTAATTAAAAATAAAATGCCTAAAGAATGTTATATAAATGGGATCAAACAGTGTATAACTTTTAGACTGGCTTTTTTCACACAGCATAATTCTCTGGAGATTCATCCAAGTTGTTGCTTGTGTCAATGATTTGTTTCTTTTTATTGCCAAATAGCATTCCTTTGGTATGTATGTGCCAGTTTATTTAACCATTCACCCATTAAAGGTCATCTGGAATGTTTCCAATTTTTTGGCTCTTAAAAATAAATCTGCTGTAATCATTCAGTTGTAGGTTTCTGTATAAACATAAGTTTTCGTTTCTTTGTGATAAATACTCAAGAGTACATTAGCTGGGTTTTGCAGCAATTATATGTTACTTTTATAACAAACTGCCAAACTGTTTTCCAGAATGGCTGTACCATTTAACATTCCACCAGCAATGTGTGATGATGCAGTTTCTCTACGTTCTCACCAGCATTAGGTGTTGCCGCTATTTTTTATTTTAGACATTTTTAATAGCTATGTAGTGATACCTCATTATAGTTTTATTTTGTGTTTCCCTGATGGCTAATTGATGCTGAACATCTTTTCACGTGTTTATTTGCTCTTCTCTTTGATGTTATATCCTCTTCAGAGAAGTATTTCTTCATGTCTTTTGCTGATTTTCTAATTGGGTTGTTTGTTCATTTATTGTTGGTCTTTGAGAGTTCTTTGTATATTCTAGATACTAGTCCTTTGTCAGATGGGTGGGTTGCAAATATTTTCTTCTAGTCTGTAGCTTTGTTTTTTCATGCTCTTAACATGGTCTTTCTCAGAGCAAATGTTTTCAGTTTTATGAAGTCCAGTTTGTCAATTTTTCCTTTTATGGATCATGCTGTTAGTGCCAACTCTAGGAACACTTTGCCTAGATCCTGAAGAATAATTCCTTTTTTTTTTTATTTCCAAGGTTTTTTTTTTTTAACATTTTACAGTTAAGCCTATGATCCATTTTCAGTTAAATTTTTGTACAAGATATGAGACTCAGGTCAAAGTAGTTTTTGCCACACCATTTGTTGAAATGACTCTTTCTCCAGCACTGAATTGTTTTTGCACCTTTGTTAAAACACAATTGGTCATTGTATTAGTCTGTTTCTGTTGCTTATAACAACATACTTGGAACCGGGTAATTTATAAGAAAACAAAATTTATTGCTTATAGTTTCAGTGGCTAGGAAGTGCAAAATCCAGGGAACACATCTGATGAAGGCTTTCTTTGGCAGTGACTTCAGTGACACCAGGATATCACATTGCAAAAATGGTGGAGCAGAGAGAGAAAGACAGACTCTCTTCTCTCTTCATTTAAAGCGCTCAGAACCACGCCCCTGACCACCATTTTTAATCCATTCACTACTGCACAGTTCTACAATCTAATCACCTCTTCAAGGCTCCACCTTTCAATTATCATAATAGGATTTCCCCCCCTTAATGGTCACAGTGGGGGCCAAGTTTCTAATACATAAAACTTGGGGGACACAATTCAAGCTGCAGGAAGTTGGGGGGGGGACATAATTCAGTCCACTACAGTCATATTTGTATGAATCTCTTCCTGGGATCTCTATTTTGTTTTGTAGATTTGTGTATTTGTTCATTCAACCATACCACACAGTTTTGATTATAGCTGCTATATGTCTTCAAAATTGTTTTAGCTATTTCTAGTTCCATATATGAGTATACTTTCCATATAAATTTTAGAACAATCTTGTCTATCTACAAATAATCTTGTTGGAATTTTAATAAGAATTGCCTTACATCTGAATATCAATTTGGGAAGAATTGACTTGTTCACTGTACTAAGTCTTCTAGTCCGTGAGTACAGCAGGCCTCTCCCTTTATTTAAATCTTTGGATTTTTCATCAGTGTTCTATAGTTTTCAGCATACAAATCCTGTACATGTTTTATTAGATTTACCTCCAAGTATTTTATTTTTTGAGCAATTGTCAAGGAATTTTAGTTCAATTTTGATGTCCATGTACTCGGTAGTGAATTGATTTATGTTTATCTTGTATCTCACGGCCTTGCTGAGTTTACTTATTAGCTATAGGAATTTCTTTTCCTACATAGTTGGCCATGTCTTCTGCAAATAGGGACAGTATATTTCTTCCTATTCGACCTGTATACCTTTTATTTTTTTTCTTGCTTTATGCACTGGCTAAAACGTCCAGTGCCAGTGACTAGCACTATGTTGACTAAGAGGGATAAGAGTAGACATCACCCTTCCTGTTGCTGATCTTAGGGGGAAAGCATTCAGTCTTTTACCATAAAGTAAAATATTAATTGTAGGTTTTTTATAGATGCCCTTTATCAGGTTGAGGAAGTTCTCTTCTATACCTGTTTCTCTGAGGGTGTTTATCATGAAGGGGCATTAAATTTTGTCAAATGCTTTTTCTACGTCTATGGTTCATGTGCTTTTTCTTCTTTAGCTTGGTGGATTATATTGATTGATTTTTGAGTACTAAACCAATCTTACATCCCTACAATAAACCCCACTTGGTCATGGTGAATAATTCTTTTAATGTACGAGGGGTACTTCAAAAAGTTTGTGGAAAAATGGGATTCAAAGATAATACGAATCTTTCCATGAACTTTTTGAAGATGCTTCATATGGCTGAATTCTATTTTCTAATATTGTGTTAAGGATTTTTGCATCCATATTCGGGAGGAATATTGGTCTGTAGTCTTTTAATACTGGTATCAGGGTAATACTATCTTCATAAAATCAATGGGAAAATGTTCTTTCCTTTTCTATTTTCTGGAAGAGATTTATGGAATTGGCATTAATTCTTTAAGTGTTTGGTGGAATTTTCCAGTGAAACCAACTTGACTGTGAGTTTTAAATTATTAATTCAATATTCCTAATAGTTACAGGGCAATTCAAATTATCTTATTTCATATTTGGTGAGTTTTGGTAGCTTGTGTTTCTCAAGGAAGCAATCCACTTTGTCTAGATTGTCAAATTTGTGTGTGTAGAATTATTTGTAGTATTCCCTTATCCTTTTGATGTCTGTAGGATCTCTAGTGATATCTCATGTTTCATTCCTGATACTGGTAATTTGTTTATTTTGGAAGTCAGTCTTGTTAAAGTTCTGTCAATTTCACTGATTTTAGTTTTTTAAAGATCCAGCCTTTTGTTTCATTGGGATTGTCTATTGGTTTTTTATTTTTAGTTTCATGGATTTCTGCTCTTTATATTCTTCTTCTGCTTGTTTTGGGTTTACTTTGCTTCTCTTTTTATTGGTCCT